TTTCAGCGAAAGATTTAATGAGGGATGGAGAGTTCCAGTTCAAGTCAGCCAACTGAAAGTCCCAGTTCGAGTCAGCCAAGTATGGTTTGCTTCATTATTTACCAAGTTATGTGTAGAATTCTGATCTATAGAGAGGAAAAAGGGCTTGGCGTAATTAAACTCATTGTTGTCTTCTATGGGTGATTTTTGCTACCTAATTTTTTACAGCGACATCAGCACCGTCAAGTTCGAGATTGGCTATTAACCGAAGAAGACAGCAGGGGAATCCGATCCTAAAATATCTGCGTAATGTAACCTTTGAATGGGCTGAAATCAAGGTTCGCTCCTTATTAAATCCATTGATTTCATAATTTTTTTGGAGCAATAAATTCAAGTCTTTTTTTAATTGCAGGCGGATTTTGAAGCCGGCAAAGAGATGGGTATTCTGTATTTGAGTCTAAAATGGCACAAACTTCACCCGAACTACATTGAGACACGCATGAATAACGATGGTACTGGATACGCAATCAAGGTAATTGATTTTGAGTTAAAATACCACGCAAAAATACACCGGAAATGGTAATAGTGATGACGAACATATCAGTTTTTTCGGTCCTTCACAGCTGAAGTCTCTCAGCTGTTGTTTAGTGCAGTCGCCTATGATCGAAGTTGCATTATCTCGTGGTCATCTTACTGACACTTTTGAAATTCTTTTTTTTTTCGTTTCTCTTCGTCTTTCCACAGAAAAATCCGTAGATTATTATTGTTGTGCAGGTTCTGTTGGTGCTTGTGAATGTGGAACCGCGACATATTCTTCGTGAATTAAATTTGTTTTGCTACCGTACTGGCTGGACTCTCGTGCTGTGCTATTCCGCCGAGGAAGCTGCAGAGTATCTTGAAAATTTGCACATATCAAGGTATAAAAATGAGCAGTGCGCGGTAAATGCGATACAGGAACGAAAAAGAAAGCGGCTGGGATTGGCTGAGAATTATGACGAATTTAATCAGGTTATAATTTGATCATATTTGTAACTTGTGGCTTCTTTCAGTTATGGTAAAAATTGCACTGAATTCAAAGAATATTACAGCAAAAATCGGTGTAAATACCAAAAAACTCGGTGTACACACCAGGCAATGGCATTGAAATCACATCTCGCTCTTAAGGGCTGCTGCAGCTGCATACCCAAAATAGCTATGGCTCTTTTTAGTGTGTCTTTTATACGCGTACATCGAACTTCTTTCTCGTGTTTCTTTGAGTTTGATAAATTATCCTG